GTACCCTTTGGAGTCACGGTCTTGGGAGACACAGTAACTATAGGCTTGGAGGGTCCCACTGCATATGTGCCCACTCTGCCACTGTTCCACTTTGGTGTTGAATTATATTGTTTAGATTGATTCGGCGTACCTTTGGTACTCTGTGGTTTACTATTATTGGTTTCTGAAGATTTACTTGGTGGTTTTAATTTGTCATGTGTTTGTAATTGATGAATTACTGAATGTAAACCCTCAGATATTTCATTCATGGATAAGATACTTTTATTGTAATGAGCACTCCTTTGTCTCAATACGTCCCGAGGTATTTTCTCCTGGACAATTATTTTCGCGACCCAATCAGCCCTGTTATTATTTACTGTCAGGCTGAGAGCTTTGATCATTGATTCTACCTCCAACTTGAAGACTTGGAGTGAATCAGCTGAAGCCTCCGGTGGGGGTAAATGCAACAGCTCATGAACTAAATGTGATGTTCTTACTTCTGGATCACCAAAATTATCCTTGAGGAGTTATACTGCCAGATCATAGCCGTCGTTAGTTAATCTCAGATGGGATACTATTGTTTTAGCCTCACCTGATAATTGGCCTTGAAGATAAGAGAATTTACTACTTTAAGGTAAAGATTATTTTGAGTTCACGAGGTCTACGAATTTGTTCCATAATTCGTCCCAATTTTCCTCATCTTTTCCTGAGAAAGTGGGTAAGTTAATTAGAGGGAGTCGACCTTCAGCTTGACTCGGATTAGACGAAATTGTTGTTTTTGCCTTGTTCTGGGCAATTATTTTCACGAAAGGCTGTAATGTGGCCTGAGTGTGATCTTCATAACTCGCTAGATCAACCATAATGTCGTCTATTTCTGTTTCTGATAAATGGGTGTTGGCAAGTTCAGCCACATATGTTGCTATTTGGCATTTGATTTGCTCAAATTTACCTGCAGCTGATTGATAATAGCTTTCCAGGTCAGCATAATCAACTGGAGATTGTTGTGACAAATCCTCACATTTCTTGATCTATCTTGTTAAGTGGCCTTTAAGACCTACAAGTTTTTCTTTTTTCATTCTTCCTGCAGTATCCATACTGGCTAGCTGGTTAAGCCTTGTGGGGCTTGTACTTTAGTTGCTCATAATGCTGAACAAGTACTGACGGAGTAGCCTAGGGTAAAATTCTGCAATCACTAGGCTATAATCCTACCTCTTCTAGAGGTTAGCCTTAAAATTAATACACATTATATATATATAGAATCATATACACTAATGATTTGAGTGATAAACCAGTGTCACTGGAAGTACCTTTAGGTTAGCTCCTCAATTATCACCCAAGGTTGGTATAGACACTAATTAATCACTCAAAATGTGCAATGATTTTAAGTAAATTATTATATATACTCATCTCAACTCGAGCTGGTATCAATTACACCCAAAATAGGGTCTGCACCATTAATTAATGGTGCTAGGTCTTTCAATGGAATACAACTAGGCTATGGTAAAATAGGACTATGATGAACAATAAATAGTTCAACTAGTCAATGGTAATAGGGGACTAGGTTATCAATAAACTCTAGTCAATGTTATATCCTACCCTGTAGTGGGTTCCAAGTAGTAAATATTGTATTGTGAAAAATAGTGCAATATACAAATAAACACCACAAAATTCGTGGATAAACTAGCGACGGCACAGCCACTAATTTGGCTGGCTTTAAAATAAGAGCTGTCACTTCACGAATAACACTCCACGAGAATTGGTGAGTGACCGTGAAGCTGCTCTGAGGGGGCTCATGAGCTCATTCAAGGCTACGTGGCAGGTCACATTCTGTGATGGGCAATATATTGTTCACTAATTTATTACACTAGTTTATTTAACTTGATGACAGTCTAGCTCTCTAGACCATCTAGGTTCGAATGATTTGGGAGATTCGAACCAGTTCTGCGCTATCTTGGTTCAAAGGACCAAATAATCTGTCATCCGGTTCGAAGGACCATATAATGTGGGGAACCGACCTGTAAGATTTATATTTATTTAATTTATATGAATTTATATTCGATAGCAATTTATAAGATGTTTAGTGGACTGTATTTTCGCAATATTCTCACAAATCGACTCCTTGCACATTAGGGGGGTTTAGATTAAATTTATATATATGAAGCCAATCAAACTACAGTATTAAACTACATATATTAGTAATGAAAATTTGGAGGTCTTATATTATTGTATGGTAGGACTAGTCCACCAGGTATAAACAAGGATGATGGCACCAAATAATCCTTGTGGTTGAGGCTAGCGTCACCACCCATGTACTGGTGTCCCAAGATCAATTCTTGCTTCCTCTTCTATTGTTCCTGTCAGCGCACTTGCTGTAAAGTCTGAATCCTAAATATATGATAGCTATATCAGAGGAAATATTGGCATATTATTTATAAAATAAGGACCAAGGAATAATTACCTGGTTTAAGTCGCTTTCTCATGTCCTAATCGGAATTAATCCTACCTACCTGACATTACTGGCCGGAAATGATTAGATAAGACTTCAGAAAGACACTGCCCCTTGTTTAGATGTTGACTGCGTTTTGATGATGGAAGAAGCACTAATTTGATCTCCATACCACTTCGTCCAAGGGAGAATTATAGGAGCTGAACTCACTCCAGCGATCTGTTGTCTTACCAACGGCTGACCTCTTACCACTGACGCTCTGGCTCTCCTTGTCCAGATGTCAATAAATGGTAGAAAGGTCACATTTACTCTATTTTGGTACTGATAATTAAGTTAATTCATATGAGATGTTTTTATGATGTTAAAAATTCAAAGACTGCTGTATTAAGCATTAGCTGGTGAAATTATAGTGCTATGTGGCAATGATATCTTTTTTCTATTGATGGAAAATTCCACTACAGGCAACATTTTCTATGGGTTAATGTGTGTTTACAACTCAGCAGCAATATTATCTGCTTATTGTATTTAATATTAGTAAATGGTGTCGGGTTTCCCATTAGTGTGTGTATTCACCTATTTGTGCTTGTGGGGGTTGAGCTCTGCTCTTTCGGCCTGCCTCTCAACTGTCAATCAATCAACTGTTACTAACTACTAATTTTTTTTCCACACACACACACATCCCCAGGAAGCAGCCGTAGCAGCTGTCTAACTTCCAGGTACCTATTTACTGCTAGGTAACAGGGGCATCAGGGGTGAAAGAAACTTTGCCCATTTGTTTCCACCATGGCCCGGAATCGATCCCGGGTGCCTAGATCTACGCATCAAGAGCGCTGTTCACTCAGCCACTAAGCTCCAATGTGTGTACTCACTTCTTTATACTCGCCTATTTGTGCTTGCGGGGGTTGAGCTCTGGCTCTTTGGTCCCGCCTCTCAACTGCCAATCAACTGATGTACAGGTTCCTGAGCCTATTGGGCTCTATCATATCTACACTTGAAACTGTGTATGGAGTCAGCCTCCACCACATCACTTCCTAATGCATTCCATTTGACTACTACTCTGACACTAAAAAAAATCTTTCTGATGACTCTATGGCTCATTTGGGTACTTAATTTCCACCTGTGTCCCCTAGTGCATGTGCCCCTTGTGTTAAATAGTCTATCTTTATTTACATTATCAATTCCTTTGAGATTCTTGTATGTGGTGATCATGTACCTCCTAACTCTTCTGTCTTCCAACAACGTGAGGTTTAATTCCTGTTGTCTCTCCTCGTAGCTCATACCTCTCAGTTCCGGTACTAGTCTGGTAGCAAACCTTTGAACCTTTTCAAGTTTAGTCTTATGTTTGACTAGATATGGACTCCATGCTGGAGCTGCATACTTCAGGATTGGTCTGACATATGTGGTGTACAAAGTTCTGAAGGATTCCTTACACAAGTTCCTAAATGCTGTTCTTATGTTGGCTAACCTGGCATATGCCGCTGATGTTATCCGCTAGATTTGGGCTTCAGGGGACAGATCTGGCGTGATATCAACCTCCAGGTCTTTGTGTGTACTCACCTATTTGTGTCTGCAGGATCGAGCATTAACTCTTGGATCCCGCCATTCGAGCCATTGGTTGTTTACAGCAATGATTCCGGTCCTATTTCCTTATCATACCTAGTTTTAGAATTATGAATAGAATTTGCTTCCACAACCTGCTCCTTAAGTGCATTCCATTTTTCCACTACTCTCACGCTAAAAGAAAACTTCCTAACATCTCTGTGAATCATCTGAGTTTCCAGCTTCTACCCATGTCCCCTCGTTATGTTGCTATTCCGTGTGAACATTTCGTCTATGTCCACTCTGTCTATCCCCCTGAGTACACCTATCATATCCTTCAGGCGATCTTTATATCCCCATCCCTCGTAACGCTGGGACGAGTTTCGTTCCAAACTTCCGAACCTTTTCCAGTTTCCTTATGTGTTTCTTCAGATGTGGACTCCATGATGGGGCGGCATACGTTAAGACTGGCCTCACGTAGGCAGTGTAAAGCGCCCTAAATGCCTCCTTACTTAGGTTTCGTGTGTGGTTGTGGGAGAGAGAGAGTGTGTGGACATCAGCCATAACAGCAACTCCCAACAAGTGTGACCATTGACACTACAGACACATCTCCAACATTTCTTTCATAACAGTTTAGTCACCAAGGTTACCATTTCGAAGGTTCCACAATCATACAGAGATACTTAAATTGGCTTACATTCAGCCACGAGCCAAAATAACCGAATTAACAACGTCAGTGTTTGTCCAAACTCTTTCTTATCGCCTCTGCAACTCCAGTAACATTTAAATTGGCAATTTCTTTGTATTATTTCTTTTTTTTCGGATCTAAAGGTGTTTGATATACTGTGTGATCGACTAGTAATCGCTCATTATATGCAACTGAATAAGCAGATGACTATTCACTACTACCGGCGAAAAAATCCATATTGTTAGGATACGTTATCATATAAAAAGCACATGCTTCACCCCAACTCTTGCATAACACTTTTGTTTTCCTTATCATTTTTTTTTTATGTGAGGCTATAACGACCCTGGCGATGACGGAGAATATAAACCTAGAATCGGGGCTCAAACACCACCACTCACCTCCAGCTCTCGGCTACACCAACATGAACCTGGTAAGCTCCTAACAGTCAGGGATATATGTAAAAAGAATAGGGGGTGGTAGGAGAAGAAAATATGAAAGTGTTCAGTGAGAATCCACAAGGTCTTCTCTGAATACTCTATATTTTTTTCTTAGAGAGGCTATGGGTCCCCACAATTGCACCAGAGGTGGCATCCCTTTATATATATATATATTAGTATATTTTGATAGCAGTCTTTCCTGTAGACATATATTATTAAATATGACCGAAAAAGTATGATTAATAATTCTAACACGAATTTTCTCAATCTTTCGTACATTTCGTTTCACTGTTGGAGGTAAATCAAAAATCAATTCTCCAAAATTCATTTTTATTTCTAGTCTACTAGAAATAAAAATGAATTTTGGAGAATTGATTTTTGATTTACCTCCAACAGTGAAACGAAATGTACGAAAGATTGAGAAAATTCGTGTTAGAATTATTAATCTTACTTTTTCGGTCATATTTAATATTATATATATATATATATATATATATATATATATATATATATATAGATGAACGTTTCATCGTTGCCAACACCAGACCAGGGTCTGGTGTTGGCAATGATGATAATGGCCCAGCAACGATGACGATGATAACGATAACGATGATAACGGCTTTAAACAGCCGAAACGTTCGTCTTCCTTTCCTATTTCTTTGTGGATTTTCCGCATACAAATGATCAGTGTTTCGTGATCGTCAAGGTCTTTCATGTTTATTATATAAAAAATTACTAATGTTTCATTATCAAAAAAAAAATTGCATATGAACAGTTTTTATTTGCATAATTTTGTTCATCTATATAAATAAAAGAGTAAATGTTCGTTTGTTCAAAATCGCTAATCTCCGAAAGTTCTTCACCGATTGCTTTGAGAGTTTTACACAAAGTTCCATTCGCATCCGAGCGGGTTTTTATAGACATACTATATAGATGTCATGTGTGTGACGGGGGAAAAAAACATGTTTTTATTGAAAAACTGTGTTTTTCACGTATTTTTCATGTGAGGGGAAATCTTCGAAATCTCTTTACAGATGGCTTTGAAATTTTGACACAACGTTGCATTCGAATAGGCACGCGTTTTTATATACAACTATATAAATGCCACACCTGCTACAGGTAAAAACTTGTTTTTTTGGAAAACAGCGCCATCTGTTGCACGTAATAGCAACACATGCTATACTAAATATGTTACGATTCATTTCAATGTTTCCGATTGCATTGATAATTTAATTTTCATAGATTTTTATTTATTTTCATTTTGATTGAATTATTTTATGTGAGATTGCATTGGAATTGATCTGTGTTGATTACCATACCGATCATTTCGTAAGCATAAGTATAGATGCCACATCTGTGACAGTTAAAAATATTTTTTTTTAAGAAACAGCGCCATCTGTTGTACATAACAGCAACACACGCTATACTAACTATGTTACGATTCTATTACAACGTTTCTGATTGCACTGACAAATTGAATTTTTATAGATTTAAATTTATTTTCATTTTTATTTAATTATTTTGTGTGAAATGCGTTGGAATTGAGCTGTGTTGTTTACCATACCATTCATTATGGGAGTATAGTTTATTTTATTATTTTTGCATTGTTTTTCATTTCATTTTTTAACTGTTTTTCTCATATTTCAATGATAGGAACATCAGATTATTTAATGTTCCCAATTTTCTGATGGGAACATCAGACCATTTGGAAATGCATCGGACATGGGAATGGGTAATTGTGGGGAGGACGAGGGGACGGGGGAGTTGGGGATGGTGGGGGACGAGGGGAATGGAGAATGGTGGGGAGGACAAAGGGACAGGGGAGTGGGGAATGGTTGGGAGGACGAGGGGACGGGGAAGGGAGGGATGGGTTATCTTGAGATGATTTCGAGGCTTAGCGTCCCCGTGGCCTGGTCCTCGACCAGGCCTCCTTTTTCTTACACCCCCCCCCCCCCACCCTCCCTAAGAAGCATCACGTAGCAGCTGTCTAGCTCCCAGGTTCCTATTTACTGCTAGGTAGCAGGGGCATCAGGGTGAAAGAAACATTTAGCTCAGTTGTCTCCACCTCCACCGGGGATCGAACCCGGAACATCAGGACTACGAATCCGAAGCGCTGTCCATTCAGCTGTCAGGCGCCCGGATACAGGGAAAGGTTGCTGAGCCACAGCAACGCGTGGCTGGGTACAGCTAGTTATTGAATATTTTCTTTTATTATTGTATAATTTTGTTCATTATTACTTTCACAGTAGGAATATGTAACTAGTTCACTAATAAGGTCGAGTCTAAAACTTATTTTGAAAAGATTACCAAGCGTTCTTACTGACGAAAACGTAATGTTTACATTTTTATTCTATATCTGCTGCAGAAGGCTGTATTGTTGACTGTGGCGGTTGCTGTAGTGGCCCAGACGCTCCCGTCTCATTCATACCGAATCTCCGGCAAAAGAAGTGGAGGTTCAACAGGTGGAAGATTTGGACGGGCAGGCGGTGGAGGCTCCGGTAGCTCACAAGCTGGAGGCTTAGGGGGCTCACTATCTGGAGGACTCGGCGGCTCACAAGCTGGAGGCTTAGGGGGCTCACTATCTGGAGGACTCGGCGCCTCACAAGGTGGAGGACTCGGCGCCTCACTATCTGGAGGACTCGGCGCCTCACAAGGTGGAGGACTCGGCGCCTCACAAGCTGGAGGCTTCGGCGGCTCACTATCTGGAGGACTCGGCGGCTCACAAGGTGGAGGACTCGGCGGCTCACTATCTGGAGGACTCGGCGGTTCACAAGCTGGAGGACTCGGCGCCTCACAAGGTGGAGGACTCGGTGCCTCACAAGCTGGAGGCTTCGGCGGCTCACAAGCTGGAGGCTTCGGCGGCTCACAAGCTGGAGGCTTCGGCGGCTCACAAGCTGGAGGCTTCGGCGGCTCACAAGCTGGAGGACTCGGTGCCTCACAAGCTGGAGGACTCGGCGCCTCACAAGCTGGAGGCTTCGGCGGCTCACAAGCTGGAGGACTCGGCGCCTCACAAGCTGGAGGCTTCGGCGGCTTACATGCTGGAGGATTCGGCGGTTTACATGCTGGAGGATTCGGTAGCGCACTAGCTGGAGGCTTCGGCGGCTTACATGCTGGAGGATTCGGCGGCTCACACGTTAGAGAGTTTGATAGCACTCAAGCTAGAAGCTTCGATAGCTCACAAGCTGGAGGCTTCCTTAGCGCACTAGCTGGAGGCTATGGGGGCTCACACGCTGGAGGCTTAGGGGGCTCACTAGCTGGAGGCTATGGGAGCTCACACGGTGGAGGCTTAGGGGGCTCACTAGCTGGAGGCTATGGGAGCTCACACGGTGGAGGTTTAGGGAGCTCACTAGCTGGAGGCTTAGGGAGCTCACTAGCTGGAGGCTTAGGGAGTTCACACGCTGGAGGCTTAGAAAGCTCACTAGCTGGAGGCTTAGGGAGCTCACTAGCTGGAGGCTTAGGGAGCTCACTAGCTGGAGGCTTAGGGAGCTCACTAGGTGCAGGCTTAGGGAGCTCACTAGCTGGAGGCTTAGGGAGCTCACTAGCTGGAGGCTTAGGGAGCTCACACGCTGGAGGCTTAGGGAGCTCACACGCTGGAGGCTTAGGGAGCTCACTAGCTGGAGGCTTAGGGAGCTCACAAGCTGGAGGCTTAGGGAGCTCACTAGCTGGAGGCTTAGGGAGCTCACTAGCTGGAGGCTTAGGGAGCTCACACGCTGGAGGCTATGGGAGCTCACTAGGTGCAGGCTTAGGGAGCTCACAAGGTGGAGGCTATGGGAGCTCACTATCTGGAGGTTATGGGCGCTCCCACGCTGCAGGCTTAGAGAGCTCACACGCTGCAGGTTTAGAGAGCTCACACGCTGCAGGCTTAGGGAGCTCACACGGTGGAGGCTATGGGAGCTCACTAGCTGGTGGCTTAGGGAGCTCACACGCTGGAGGCTTAGGGAGCTCACAAGCTGCAGGCTTAGGGAGCTCACTAGCTGGAGGCTTAGGGAGCTCACACGCTGGAGGCTTAGGGAGCTCACACGGTGGAGGCTATGGGAGCTCACTAGCTGCAGGCTTAGGGAGCTCACACGGTGGAGGCTTAGGGAGCTCACTAGCTGGAGGCTATGGGAGCTCACTAGGTGCAGGCTTTGGGAGCTCACACGGTGGAGGTTATGGGAGCTCACTATCTGGAGGTTATGGGCGCTCCCACGCTGCAGGCTTAGAGAGCTCACACGCTGCAGGCTTAGAGAGCTCACACGCTGCAGGCTTAGGGAGCTCACACGGTGGAGGCTATGGGAGCTCACTAGCTGGTGGCTTAGGGAGCTCACACGCTGGAGGCTTAGGGAGCTCACAAGCTGCAGGCTTAGGGAGCTCACTAGCTGGAGGCTTAGGGGGCTCACTAGCTGGAGGCTTCGGGAGCTCACAAGGTGGAGGCTTCGGTAGCGCACTAGCTGGAGGCTTAGGGAGCTCACATATTAGAAAATTCGATACTTCCCGAGCTAGAAGCTTCGATAGCTCACACGCTAGAGTCTTTGGTAGCTCACAAGCTGGAGGCTTAGGGAGCTCACTAGCTGGAGGCTTCGGAAGCTCACAAGCTGGAGGCTTAGGGAGCTCACAAGCTGGAGGCTTAGGGGGCTCACTAGCTGGAGGCTTAGGGAGCTCACAAGCTGGAGGCTTAGGGGGCTCACTAGCTGGAGGCTTAGGGAGCTCACTAGCTGGAGGCTTAGGGGGCTCACTAGCTGGAGGCTTAGGGAGCTCACTAGCTGGAGGCTTAGGGGGCTCACTAGCTGGAAGCTTCGGAAGCTCACAAGCTGGAGGCTTAGGGGGCTCACAAGCTGGAGGCTTAGGGGGCTCACAAGCTGGAGGCTTAGGGAGCTCACAAGCTGGAGGCTTAGGGGGCTCACAAGCTGGAGGCTTAGGGGGCTCACAAGCTGCAGGCTTAGGGGGCTCACAGGGTGCAGGCTTAGGGAGCTCACAAGCTGCAGGCTTATAAGCTTGAGGCCTCGGTGGCTCACAAGCTTGGAGGCTTCGGCGGTTCACCAGGAGGCGCTGAAGACCACTGAACGCTTGGGAGCGGCTCCTGCGGCTTCCTGCAGGAACTATGGCGCCCCCCTTGATCATCTCTCTGTATCCTGTTTCACCGAGTGCTATCTTGTTGTCTTAATGTTATCGTGTTTTCTTACGAGACGTGTTGTCTTAACCTTGTTCCAGAGATGTTTTCATGAAACACTCAGATCTCTGTGGTAGAGATATCCTGCTGTTCATCCCAATGGTCTCTCTTGCAGATATCCTGCTGGTTATTCCTGAGGTCTCTGTTGCAGATATCCTTCTTGGTATCTCTGTGGTCTCTGTTTCAGATATCCTTTTGAGTAGCTCAATGATCTCTGTTGGAGATACCTTTCTGGGTATACCTGTAGCCTGTGTTGTAGATATCCTGCGCGTTATTCCTCAGGTCTCAGTTGCAGATATCCTTCTGGGTATCGCGATCTCTGTTGGAGATACTCTGGTCTCTAGTCCCACTGTTATCATAGCTGAGCCTCATATTGCCTTACTTCTTATCTTACTTATGTTATACCAATAAAATATTTTGAAGATATGTTGTTTCCTTTTAAGTTACATGCAATAAATACCAGTAATATATGAGAGTTTATATATATATATATATATATATATATATATATATATATATATATATATATATATATATATATTCAGTATATATATATATATACTGAATCCTGAGCCAATTGAGCAAATTGGCTCAGGATTCACAAATTTTTAGCTTCAAAATTTTAATGGCGAAAGTAATTTGGTTAATATAACAACGTGCATCTTTATTGGTTACATTTCTATGCAAAAATAATAAAGCATAGAAGCTACGCCTGAATTAAGGACATTAAAGGATGACAGCTAGTCTGTGCATGACAGATTGACCGTTCATTGCAGATTGCTCATGCTTGCATGTAGATGACAGATGTTTTTTTTAGATGGTAAATTGATTGTGAATTGCATGATGCTTGTAGAAGTCAGCTTGCTTCTTAGTGGCAGCTGGCTTGTAGTAAGCAGATTGTTCATAGTTGACAGATTGCTCTTGTATGGCAGTTAGGTTATGGATGGCAGATTGCTCTTGTATAGCAGTTAGGTTATGGATGGCAGATTGTTCGAGGATTGATGTGTTCGTGGAGAGCAGCTAGTCTATGGATGGCAGATTGCTCTTGTATGGCAGTTAGGTTATGGATGGCATATTGCTTGTGGATAAGAGAAGGCTTGTCAGTGGCAGAGGGCTTGCGGATGGCATATTCCTTGTAGATTAAAGACTGTTTGTGAATAGCAGCTGATTTTGGCTTCAGGTGCCAGTAATATATGCTAGGAGTTCATACTCCATTGCACAGCTAGGCTTGTTCTATGGAGTTTGCATGTCCATGTCATTTGGCCTCTGAACGACAGCTAGTATGTGCATAGCAACTTGTATTTGTGCATTGCTTGGAGATTACACTTTGCTTGTGTATGATAACTGACTCACTGATGACAGAACTCCCGTATATGGACTTTCATACGCTTCATTGTCATGTTATACACGACTCTTGTACCTGCTTGAAATTCTCTATTGACACATGAAGTTTCATCTTGAATATTTTTTGTAGAAGAAATCATTGTAAATGTCAGATAGCCTTGTTATAATTGTATATAACTTGAACTGAAAACTGTGCTTATCAGTATGAAATAATCACAATAAAATAGATTTTTGATAGATTGACTAATAAAGTTGAATGGGTAAATATGGTAGGAGGAAACATAGGGTATTAGTTATGCTCTTGAGAGGAAAACTTGGAGGAGGGAGGGGTTAAACTCCCGTCGACCGGGCCGCGGGGTCGCTAAGCCCCGAAATCATCTCAAGGGGCCTTCATGGGGGTGTTTGTCCATGCTCCTGGTGGTTATGCTCTTAAAGAGGGTCACATGGGAAGTGAGCCACGCTCCAAGAGAGGGGGGAAGCACAGGGAGTTGATTACACTCGCTGAGAGAAAATATTGGGCGATTTATTATGCTCTTGCAAGCAGAAACATGGGGGCGATTTGTTCGTGCTCTTGAAAGAAGAAACATGGGGGTATTGGTTATGTTTCTGGAGGAATAACATGCGGTGGAAGGTCACGTTTTAGGAGGAGGGAAACATGGGGCGTAACCCATACTTCTGAAAGAGAAGGAATGGAGTGCTGGTCATACACAACAAAGGAGCAAGAGACACAACGAAGGAACAATAGACACAACGAAGAAAGAATAGACACAACGAAGGAACAATAGACACAACGAAAGTCTCCCTTGTTCATCACAACTCGAACCTTCAAAGGCTCTGAAAGTGCTTTTGGAATCACCTAAGGTTTCATCTGAGACTCTGGAGATTATCGGGAAAAAGAGGAGCACTTGGAAGGTCAGGTGAGGTAGGAACGCATATAATCTTAGTTCACAGCCTTGCTTTTCAGTATATCAAATAACGTGGCAAGCTCAAGGCTTCAGTTCCTTCTCTCACATATATTACACATTATTGGTATTGTATAAATACAAAAAAAATGAGAATGAAAATCTAATGATTTATCATCCAGTTAATAAGAATCATTATTTCTTCACAATATTTTATTTGGATAAAATCAATAACATTATCAGTAATGAGTAAAGATAAAAAGACATATTAGAAAGAGAGATTTTGTAAATAAAGCGAGACTTGGGTGATATGATTAACAACAGAATATCTACGATACTGGGAGCTCTTACGAGAAAAGTCTACGGAGGTTGTGATATGAGGACTTGGTGATTCGCTTCGCGTAACAGAGATGGGACGAGGCTTATGGGGCGCCATATGTCCTCTTGGGAGCTACAGGAGTGGCTCCCAAGCCTCCACCGGATGCACCTCCAAAACCTCCCGTAGAACCTTGTGAGCCACCTAATCCTCCAGCTTGTGAGCCACCGAAGCCTCCAGCTTGAGAGCCGCCGAAGCCTCCAGCTTGAGAGCCACCAGCTTGTGAGCCGCCGAAGCCTCCAGCTTGTGAGCCACCGAAGCCTCCAGCTTGAGAGCCGCCGAAGCCTCCAGCTTGTGAGCCGCCGAAGCCTCCTGCTTGTGAGCCGCCGAAGCCTCCAGCTTGGGAGCCACCGAAGCCTCCGGTTTGAGAGCCTCCAGCTTGTGAGCCACCGAAGCCTCCGGAAGACGCTCCAGAAATCTGAGAAGCAGAGCTTGACGCAGCTGCATATGATCCGCGACCACCTGAAGCAGCAGCGGCGGCGTCTTCCTGACGAGCCTTCTCGATCTGGGCGATGGCGTGGGCGGGGAGAGGCGGGGGCGTGGGCAGCAGGTCAGACTCCACGCGGTAACCGCCTTCATCCGCTACGAAGCTGAAGACCGCTGGAGTCCCATCGGGAAAAGTGAATCTGCAACGCCAAATACTGTAATTAGATTCATGTTTAACGAAGAATCTTGTCTAATATCTCAGGCTTTGAAGACAAATTTAGTAAAGTTTTTCACATTATGTAATAGTTTAGCATTAGAATACTCACGACCATCCTCCCTGGGATGCCACGGCGCCAGCTGGGCCCTGAGGGGCGCCCTGCTCCTGACGACTGATGCCGTCACCAGTCTCGAAGTTGAAGTTGTAGTTGCCGTACGCATCAGGTCCCTGACGCTCGTCCCTCAGGATGGGCACAACAGGTCCTGATGGTCTGTAACTTCCACTAACAGAACTTCCACTTGCAGCTCCCCCGAAGCCTCCTGCACCAGCCCCTCCAGCGGTCCCAAAGCCTCCTGCACCAGCTCCTCCAGAGGCCCCGAAGCCTCCTGCACCAGCTCCTCCAGAGGCCCCGAAGCCTCCTGCACCAGCTCCTCCAGAAGTCCCGAAGCCTCCTGCACCAGCTCCTCCAGAAGTCCCGAAGCCTCCTGCACCAGCCCCTCCAGCGGCTCCGTAGCCTCCTGCACCAGCTCCCCCAGAGGCCCCGAAGCCTCCTGCACCAGCCCCTCCAGAGGCCCCGAAGCCTCCTGCACCAGCTCCCCCAGAGGCCCCGAAGCTTCCTGCACCAGCCCCTCCAGAGGCCCCGAAGCCTCCTCCACCAGCCCCGAGGCCTCCTGCACCAGCGCCTCCAGAGGCCCCGAACCCTCCTCCACCAGCCCCTCCAGAGGCCCCGAAGCCTCCTCCACCAGCCCCTCCAAGTCCTCCACTTCCTCTGCTCGGGGCTCGGTAAGAATAAGAGGGGAGCTTCTCGGCCACCGCAGCAGCGGCCAAGGTCAACAATACAGCCTTCTGCAGCAGATACAGAATAAAAATGTAAACATTACCTTTTCGTCACTTCAATATCAGGTATAGACTCGACCTTAACAGTAAATGAGGAAGACGCTTATTCCCACTGAAAAAGTTATTTGGAAAAATGTGATTCAAACTAGAACCTAAACATGTGAAGTTTGTATTAGTTCTTTATATAGATTTTTTTAATAAAGTTCTAGGCTTGGTTGGTTTTGAGCATAAGGTCTATCAACCGTGTGAGGGTTTATTAAGACCGCCACAAGAGCTTACTGACTAACCAACAAGTATACTTTAGTCCCAAATACAATCCAGGCCTAAAGGAAACTCTCAGTGTTCATACACCGAGAAATGGTGTATACACTCCTCGGTGTATATATATATATATATATATATATATATATATATATATATATATATATATATATATATATATATATATATATATATATATATATATATATATATATATATATATATATATATATATATATATATATATATATATATATATATATATATATATATATATATATATATATATACATATATATATATATCCCTGACCGTCAGGAGCTTACCAGGATCATGTTGGTGTAGGTGAGAGCTCCAAGTGAGTGGTGGTGTTTGAGCCCCGGAGTCGAGGCTTATATACCCGGCCGTACCATCACCGCCAGGGTCGTGACGGCCTCAGACAAACGCGGGTCATGTAATAGACTTGTGTAAGTCCTGCGGTGAATTGGCAAGCAAGGAAAGGGCTGGTTAAGGAAGTCGCGAGGTAAGGAAGTCGCGAAGGCTCCAGATTGCATTTTCTCCCAACAAAGCGTTATATGAATAACGTTAAGAATTATATTATTAAATAATACTAGATTCTTGGGGGGGGGGGCGGGTATTTAACTGCATATATTATTATATAATGCTTCTATACAAGGTTACATTATGGCTTCGTCTATGTGAAGATAAAAATGGCACTGGGGAGAGTTTATGTTGGACATGTAGATGCTGTGATTGCTTGAGATAGAACTCAGCATAATACATGTGTGTGTGTTTGAGATAAAGGAACACTTATGATAATCCACAGAGAAAGACTATCAACACGAAAATCACTATGCATCTAGGACTAAATAAAAGCCAAAACAACTCCTGTTTACATTAGGAGAGAGAGAGACAGACAGACAGACAGACAGCCTGTAGACAGACAGACAGAAAAGGAATAGTAAACATACGAGTAACTTAACAGTCTTACAGAAAGCACTGAAACTACAATCTAAACATCTCCAAGAGACAAAGGGCAGAACACCCTGAAGTGAACAACTAACAAACATGGCAGCTATAACAGGTGAGGAGAACAAACAACTTTATGACGAACAAAAAGCCAATGAACCAAAGTCCTTCTATGGATGCAAAAGAAAGTAGCTGAAGGTCTAAGCAAAATTTATTTAAAAATCTACAAGGCTTAATTTTAGAGGGGGAAGAACTGCCAGACAGCTAGAAGACTACTAATGGGCATACATAGTTATAAGAAGAAAACAGACTGGAGGCAGTAACCTGCAGGCCTATAACATGTAAGATCCTACATAAATTAATCAGGAGATCCTGAAATTACATATTTTCTGACACAGAGTCATCATTGAATGACGGAAGGAAAGACATGTCTGCTAATGTGGCTAGAGTTCTATGACAAGATGTCAAAATAGGCAGCGAAATATAGAGATGTTCTGAGAAATGGCTGCTCGACTTTAGTACAAACAAATGCAAGGTGGTGAGATTTGGGAAGGGATGCAAATTTTAAGATGACTTGAAGGCAAACTGGACAAGGAAGCTTTCAGAACACAACGTTCTATGTATGTTAGACCAGTACTATAATATGCAGCCACGTGAAAACCCCAACCTGTAAAAATACAAAGCAAGAACAGATAAAGTCTAAGATCTGTGCAATATGACTAGTTTCCTGAACTAAGAGAAATGAGCCACGAAAGAAGGCTCAGAGAACGAGACCTCACCAACGCAGAGAAAGGAAAGAGATGACCTGGTTACGACATAGAAGAATCCCGGAGGCACTGGCGGGTTGGGAGGGGGGGACTAAAGTGAAATGTTTACCGCAAAGAGAGGCATCACTAGAGGGGTCACGGGAAGAAAGAAGAAACTCAGATGATGAGCCACAGAGATGTAAGGAAGCGCCTCATCAGTGCAAGAGTAGTGAACAAGAAACATGAGTTAAATGCGAGATAGCGGAGGCCAGCTCTAGCCATAGATTCAAGCGTGCATGATAAAGAGCAACAGTTACTGTAATAGACAAACTGGTGAGTGAAAGGCGGGGTTCCAGGATCAGAGGCCCACCCTACAAGCGCACATAGGTGAGTACAGTGATTGATCGGTGTCTCAGATTATTTGACTGTAAACTATGAGACGTGCGAATTTAAAGGCGCCTGATACTCGTCTTGAACAGCGGGCGAGAGTGTATCCAATAAATTAACTGACTGTATTTAGAACATTTGCAAAATTGTAAGCCTCCAAGTACACTGCGCGCTTTGGTATTTCGTCGTGAATCTTGTCAGAAACACTAAAGCCCATTAGTAGGCAAAAAGCCTACTAATATAACTAGAAACGTTTACAAAAAATCGAAAATCATAAATGCGTGTAAATTTTAAATATTGTGGAATAAATTCAGAATTTTGAAAGCATTGGAGAGAGAGAGAGAGACAGCAGGATTAGAGGAGTCACTCCTTGAGTACGTTCTCTTTGGTGTACATGATAGTCTAGGGGCATCCGACGCCTGGTTTCGAACAAACTTAAACAAAAATTACACGCCCTCAAACCCACACACACAGCACAAACAACATAAGCAAGCAATCCAGTAAACAAATTCACAAAACAGCTCATTAACAACTATTTAAAAAAACAATATAAAACTAGTAACGGAAACAACATATTACACAATAATACAGGAGCCAGATTCACGAAAGCACTTACGAACCTGTACATCTTTTCGCAATCTTTGGCGGCTTTGTTTCCAATTATTAAACAGTTAATGAGCTCTGAAGCACCAGGAGGCTGTTTGTAACAATAACAACAGTTGATTAGGAAGTTTTCATGCTTGTAAACTGTTTAATAAATGTAACCAAAGCCGTCAAAGATTGAGGAAAGATGTACACGTTCGTAAGTGCTTGCGTAAGTGCTTTCGTGAATCTGGCCCCAGTTACATTTCATACAGGAGGGAAGGCACATTATACAACAACAGGACAAATATAATACAATGAACTGTGAAAATACAGTTCACCCTCCACCTACATAATATACAACACGCTCAGTAAGGCACAACATAATGGTATGCGACAAACTGACCAAAATCAGCATCGACTGAAAAAGCATTAAACTCGAAGCATTAAATAGCATTAAACTATCAAATACACACAACCACAAGGTATATACATAAGGGAACAAATACCCACCAAAGAACACACGCGTGCCGATGTTGTTTAAGATTCGCTACTTGGAACAAAAAGTCCCAAGTAGCACGGGCTATGGTGAGCCCGTAGCGCGTGCCGTGCCTACTATACGCCTAAACACGAGCAGAAATGCTACATTCACACACACAGAAGTGGAGAATGTAAAGGGTACTGCCCCAGTACCCACCTCAGACGGAGTTCAATGTTGTTGTTGTTATAGATTCAGCTACTCGGAACAAGTTCCAAGTAGCACGGGCTATGGTGAGCCCGTAGTGGACTTTCCTGGCACAGGAGCAGTGCACGGCCCGGAGTTCAAGTAGGTTTATTGAGACAATAATAAGAATCTCAAAAGGATAGAGTAGCTTAGGATATTTCTCCCCTCAGACAGGGTACGATTTTACGGGCTATTCATGCCCGTGCCACCTCTTTGGTGGCTTAATTTTCATCAATTTGGGTACGAACCCCACCCGATTCCTCCACCCTTCTCCATATTAGCATTGTAACACCAGCCCCACCCGTCCACTTCTGATGCTCCTCCATATAACCAAATGTAACACACACAACCTAGACCCGAGACAGACGAGGGTATATTCATTTTAAGTACAATCTTCACCGTACAGGTCCCAGTAGACAGACACGCTGGCCGGGCCGTGCACAAAGCGTTCCGTTCTGATCCCCAACACCATATTAAAGTGCGCCATGAAACGAGCGATCACCTCGTCCGCCAGTTACAGCCCCACTCCTGTGCCAGGTAAGTCCACTACGGGCTCACCATAGCCCGCGCTACTTGGAACTTTTTGTTCCCAGTAGCTGAATCTTAAACAACAACAAACTTCGTCCGCCATTTCAAACAATGCGCCAAGGACAGCCACACATGTAAAAAATCTGCTAACTTTTCTAACACCAACATTACCGGTTCCATTTGGCAGTTGTAAAGTCCTAAAAGTAAAGAGTGGATTGCCGGTCACTGAGAATCGCTGTCAATAAACGTCAGTTATAAACTTCAACACCACTCGGCGTTTCCGTAACATCTACATTTCAGCAAGATCTTGAGAGCATACACACAACACGTCAACAACTGGCAGTAACCACGAGAGCGTACTCTGCAGGCTGCGAAAATTCCAAACCTGCAGGCTGCGAAAATTCCAAACCTGCAGGCTGCGAAAATTCCAAACCTGCAGTTATATTATCGTCGTCACAGTAGCAGGAAGTGCCCTGCCCCCAAAGGGAACACCCCCGCCGCCCGACCACACCCTGGGGCTCATCATGAGCCCTAAAGATGATTTAGGGCTCATCATATGAGCCCTAAATCATCATTAATAGTGCAACAAGCGTGATCCAATCATACTGCATCGTATAGGTGTGTGATGAATGTGTCCTGCTATATCAATATTGTATTAACCAAAAATGTGAAGATATTTATCATTATACATCGTTCCTATATTAAAAAAAAATGTACATTATACAATATACATTTTTTTGTAGGAACCATATGTACACCACTTTTGTATTCAAGTTAAAAAAAACATCCAGGCTCAAGTACAAATTCAAGGACGTTTATGGAGACAATAAGATACATCTCAAAAGGATAGGAGTAGCTTAGGCTATTTCTACCTTCCTTCCTCCTCCTCCTTCAGTCCAACCACTTGGGCTGGACGGTAGAACGACGGTCCCGCTTCATGCAGGTCGGCGTTCAATCCCCGATCGTCCACAAGTGGTTGGACACCATTCCTGCTCCTCGTCCCATCCCAAATCCTTATCCTGACCCCTTCCAAGTCCTATATAGTCGCAATGGCTTGGCGCTGTTCCCCCTGATAGTTCCCTTCCCTTCAATGCTTTTACGCTGTAATAATAATTTTTACGTATTCATCAGATCTCCTCCTCCTTCAGACACCATCTCAGGTGTCAGATGGCACATAAGAGGCACGTATAACTACCTCGTTACTCTAAGGTACTTAACGATTGCTGTTCCTAAGTTAAACAAAAATATTACCATCATATAATTCTACTTTTCACACTAGGCTCCGCCTCAAAATATTTCAAATTAAAAAAAAAATCATAAAATAAATATGGATATGTTTATCGACTTGAGAATGGTCCAGGACGGACCGAAACGTCGTCGTCCCTTCACCTTCTAGCGTGTGGTCTGGTCAACATACTTTAGCCACGTTATTGTGACTCATCGCCTGCATATGGATATGTTTATGTTTGTGTACTGAGGAAAATGTAATTAGCTTGGAAATAATATTATAAAAGATGGGTACTTACCCCCCCACAGCTGATGTCAGGGTCGTGTGAAGGTTTGTTGACAGGTTGATGCGTCAAATGAGTGGCTACCACTTATAGCAAGTGTAGCAGCACTTGCTATACCCGTAGAGCGATACTAGCTACACCTTGTGTAGCAGCACTCCGTAGCCTACATTACTATATATATACACTTAACACACACACACAGCGACACTCTGCACTTACGTCAATGAGTATAGTTATTTCACTTGTATTGGTTTAGCATCAACTTACATTCGTATTGTTCAATATGGCGTTTGTTTGTATTTTGCTGTGATCGTAAACAAGTGTAAACATTAACGACACTTTCGTTTACAATAATCACTTTTAATTGAAAGGTCAACTGACGTGCACCTCCCATGAGAGCTAGGAGGGTACTGAAGTCTGATACATTTTCTTTTTTTTCGAAGAAGAGCACTAGGCCGCCAGAGACCTCTGTTGACAACGACCACAGACAACACCTCTAATGGGCTGAACGGTAGAGCGACGGTCTCGCTTCATGCAGGTCGGCGTTCAATCCCCGAAGTGTTGGGCAGCATTTCAAGCTCATTTCTGCCCCTAGGAAATGTATATGTTTACCTCTCAGAATGTTTGGTAATATGTTTATTTGTGATGTGTGTCTATGTATATATTAACACGTTGTACTGAATGGGGTGAGAATAGCTTGAGCTACCTCATCCCTTTGTGTGTATTTTACCTCAATAAACTTATTTCAATTTCAATTTCTGCCCCTATGCGGGGGATTGAACCCGGGTCCATTGGTTTGTGAGCCGAGAACGTAGACTACTGTGCTACGTAACATGATACAATTAGAGGTAGCAGTCAAAGAAGTGGTCAAATATATAGTAGCTTGTTAGTTAATGGTAGTTAGAGTGGTAGTTGTGGCCTAGTTATGACCAGTGGTGATAGCATCACTAATAGTCATAGTTGTGAGGTTGTGAGAGTAGAATCACAATAATCTCTCTCTCTCTCTCTCTCTCTCTCTCTCTCTCTCTCCATATATATTTATAGCACGTTGTATCCGCGTCTTTGTAAGTTTCACCGGTTTTGAGAGTGCAATGAAGATAGGTTTTCAAAAGTAATAAAGTATTTAAAAGTCTCGTCCCAGGAAATCATAATTAAGAGACAGACAGATACACCATTAATAAGAAAACTCCATAAACCTGTAAGGAGTATCAGTACAGTCTGCTGGAGTAATTAAAGCGCTGGGTAAGGTAGCGCTTTGTCCTGGGTTCGTATCCTGGCCGGGGAGGATTTACTGGGCGCAAATCCTTAACTGTAGCCTCTGTTTAACTCAGCAGTAAAATGAGTACTTAGTTGTAACAACGATTCTTCGCGGCGGGGATCGTATTCCAGGGACCTGCCCTAAACGCTACGCGTACTAGTGGCTGTACAAGAATGTAACAACTCTTGTATATATCTCAAAAAAAAAAACATGGCTGACCACCTACGGGCGCACGTCTCCCCGTCAGCTGATATGTAAACAAACATGATTCGTCAGTTTGCTCGATCAGCTGATGCGCAAATGAACATGATTCATCTGTTCGATTGATTAACTGATGCGTAAACAAACATGATTCATCAGTTGGCTCGATCAGATGATGCGTAAACGAACATGATTCATATATTCGCTCGATCAGCTGACCGTAAGCCAACACGGCGCGCTCACATCCCAGAAGATTCGATGTTACAGTTCACAAAAGAAGCCTCGGAACCGCTCCTGCTCAGGTGATAGTATTAGTAAAGGTAAATCACCTGAGGCGTTCTACTTGGTTTGTTTACGCGCTCGGTTAGAGTTGCCTCAAGGTGAGACACAAGAGGAAGATGGGGTTGAAGCCCGCTGATGACAGTCTTGGAGATGCTCCCGGCTTGACTAGTTCTTGTTCTTGCGTTTTTATTCTCGTGATTACAGAGCTGCGAGACAGTGGGTGATGCCGAGTACCGCTGAACAGCTTTCCTTAAACATGGCGGCTTTGTTTACACTTATGAAGCAGTTTATGAGCGCCGAGGCGCTATGTTTATAACCATAATAACCTTGTTTTATGTGTGATAACTTTGCATGTGCCGCTGATGCTATCCTGTTTAGTTATACATTCTGTGATTTAATTTTTAGTGAACTGTAAAGGTTATTTCTTTTACATATTTACTTCCTCATTCCTTACTCATGCCAACATTTATTTGGGAAAGACCTCACCAGTAAATGGTAGAATTTATCCATATTAATAAAAATATGGAAGATCAGACAGAACCACAGTTGAAAATAAAAGTGAATTACAAGACTCACTGCATAAGGAAATGTGTCAGTTCACCCTCGAACAATATCCACGTATAAGAAAATGGGTAATTCAGGCCAGACTGAACAAAAGTCAGGTGCGTGTATATATTTTTTTTTAAAGAAAAATTATTTTTGGGGGGATTGTTTGATTGTAAATAGATACAAAATTTCATGTGTCATTATTACATTTGGATGATTAATCTCGACTGTATTCATATTTCCATTGATCAAGGACGAAGGAGATTGAGAACGGACATAGGATTTGATGATGAAACCAGATGATGCTGCCCGAAACGCTGCGCGTACTTGTGGCTTTACAAGATTGTAATTACTATATTATGTATCCTCACAATCCCAATGTACCTTCTTCTATATATATAAATAAATAAATAAATAACCCTACGCTATGGCAAGCTAACTGTAAGAGGCCGCTAAATTATTGCAAGCTCTGAGATTCAGAGATGCCGTTTTATACTGGGAGGTCCCTAAGGACCTCCCTAAGCTGTAGCTGGTTCAGCTTATACCTAAATCCAGCTTTGAATCCATAAAATGCCCAGAGCCGGCCAGCATCACAGCCTATGCTTTCTTTCTCTGATTATGATCTCATCTCGCGAAACGAGATGAGAGAAGAGAGGCTGCATCATCCTCATTCATCCTTGCTTGTGTAGTGTATTATTTAAGATAAGTAACTCACTTCGAACGAGGAATAAACATTTACATTTCATTCCAATTCATTTCCCGCAGCTTCAGGCAACAGGTCTTAGGTCAATTAACACACACGTGCTTCCCTCTGCTTTTTAATTACATGAATTCATAGTTCTGTTACAAGAGAAAGCATCAAGTTAAACAAGTAGCAAAGAACAGTGGCAACAGTGAAGACAATTCAGAAAACTTTTTCTTAAAATACCTAATGAAGAGATATGTATACCAAGCAGGTTGCCTTGCTTCTTGGAGTATATACACTAAGAGTTTATGTTAGTCTTGGATTATATGTTCAAGACTAAAGTATATTTGCAGTTGGTCAGTAAGCTGTAATGGTGCCCTCATTAACCCTCCAGAGGTTGACACAGACCTATAAAGCCCAACCCCCAAACCCTTAGAAATCTAACCTCTATTCCGCCTCGTTTGAATGTGGTAATTCCATCGCAGACTCGTTTATGCCCGCCAAACACACAGCGAAACTACGACGTTGGTACAACGTTCGAACAAGTTTTAACCCCTCCTAACCAATTATAACAACCAATATAGCAAGTTGTAACAACGTTCTAATACGTCATAAACACGTTAAGCCAAGATGTAACAACTTTATTACAAGTTGTAACAAGCGGAAAATTGAGACAGTTTCGGTTTGTGTTTCCAGGGTGGGCTTCTATTTCTTTCAAGGTGAGGGAACAGAGTAGAGATACCCAGGTCCTGGTGGAGCAGTAAACTGGGCCTCTGGTGCCCCGGATCCGATACTTGACGTTCCATGGGGTAGGGAACCTCCTAGCTGGGGTCTTGGAACTGTGAAGCCTCCAAGCTGGGGTCCTGGCGTTGGGGAGCCTCCAAGCTGAGGTCCTGAAGCTGGGGCGTCTTCAAACTGGGGTCCTGGCGCTGGGAAGCCTCCAAGCTGGGGTCCAGGCGTTGGGGAGCCTCCAAGCTGGGGTCCAGGCGTTGGGGAGCCTCCAAGCTGGGGTCCTGGCGCTGGGAAGCCTCCAAGCTGGGGTCCTGGCGTTGGGGAGCCTCCAAGCTGAGGTCCTGAAGCTGGGGCGTCTTCAAGCTGGGGTCCTGGCGCTGGGAAGCCTCCAAGCTGGGGTCCAGGCGTTGGGGAGCCTCCAAGCTGGGGTCCAGGCGCTGGTGAACTTCCTGACGGAGTTCCTATTTCGCTTGGGCGAATGTAAGAGGAACCGGGAGCTGAACCACTGGGCTGTGATGCTGAACCTTCTGACTGGTAATCTTGAACTTTCGAACCTCCAAACTGGGGTTCTAGAGCTTGGAAACCTCCAAACTTGGATCCTGAGGCGGAGGAACCTCGGAACTGGGACTCTGAAGTTTGGGAACCTCCAAGCTGGGATCCTGAATCAGGAGAACCTTGTGAATGGGATCCTGGGGCTGGTGAGCATTGGGATGGGGTTTCATGAGCTGAAGAACCTTCTGAGTGGAAGCCTGGAGCTCCAGAACCTACATTCTGAGATCCTGGAAATTTTGTGGCACCAAACTGGGATTCTGTAGCATGTGAACCTCCAATCTGGGATCCTCGAACCAGTGAATCTCCAAACTGAGCTTGTGTAGCAGCTGAACCTCCAATCTGGGATCCTCGAACCGGTGAACCTCCAAACTGAGCTTGTGGAGCAACTGAACCTCCAATCTGGGATCCTGGGGCCGGTGAACCTCCAAACTGGGATCGTGGAGCAGCTGAACCTCTAATCTTGGATCCTTGAGCCGATGAACCTCCAAACTGGGATCCTGGAGCCAGTGAATCTCCAAACTGGGCTTGTGGAGCAGCTGAACCTCCAATCTGGGGTCCTGGAGCCGGTGAACCTCCAAACTGGGACCGTGGAGCAGCTGAACCTCCAATCTGGGATCCTGGAGCCAGAGAACCTCCAAACTGGGATTCTGAATATGATAACCCTCCAGATTGAGTTCCTAGTTCAGCTGGCGATGTGTAAGAGGAACCAGGGGATGAACCACTAAATTGAGATCCTGGAACTGAACCTCCGAACTGGGATTCCGGAACAGGTGAACCATCAATCTGAGATTCTGCAGCTGACGAACCTCCAAGCTGGAATCCTGAAGCTGAGGAGCCTCCTAGCAAGGATCCTGAAGCTTGAGAACCTCCAAAATGGTGTACTGAAGATGTTGAACCTCTAGACTGAAATCTTGTATCTGGGGAACCTCCAAATTGAGCTCCTGAAGCTTGGGAACCTCCAAACTGGGATCTTGGAGCTGATGAACCACCGACCAAATTTCCCAATCCAGTTGGGGGAACGTAAGATGAACCGGGAGTTGAACCGCTGGGCAGAGATCCAGGAACTGAACCGCCAAACTTTGATCCTGAAGATGTTGAACCTCCAGCTTGAAGTCTCGATCCTGGGGAACTTGCTGGCTGAGCTCCTGAGGCTTGAGAACCTCTAGCCTGGGATCCCGAAAATGCTGAACCTCCAAGCTGGAATCTTGAATCTGTGGAACCTCCATTCTGAATTCCTGAAGCTAAAGAACCTCCAAGGTGAGCTCCTGGAACTTGGGAACCTCCAAATTGGGATTCTGCAGCTGGTGAACCACCGGCTTCAGTTCCCAGTTCATTTGGGGGAATGTAAGATGAACCTGGAGCTGAACCACTGGGCAAAGATCCAGGAACTGAACCTCCAAGCTTGGAACCTGCAGATGCTGAATCTCCAAACTGGAATCTTGAAACTGCGGAACCTCCAGATGCTGGCGGACCTCCAAGTTGAGCGTCCGAAGCCGAGGAACCTCTAAGCTGTAATCTTGAAGCTGGAGAACCACCAAACTGGAATCCCGGGGCCGGTGGACTTTCAAACAAGACTCCTGGAGCGGGAGGACCGTCAGCGCGGAATACTGGAACTTTAGAACCGACGGTCTGGGATCCCGGAGTCTTTGGAAAGCGGTACAGTGATTCTGGAGTCTTAGAACCACCGAACTTGGCTCCCTGACTCTTAGAACCACTGAGCTGTGATCCTGGAGTTCTAGAACCGTTGATCTGTGATCCAGGGCGTAAGAAACTGGTCGCCTGGCCAGAGGACGCAGCGGTCGCGAGGTTACTGGACGCTGGTCGTAGGTCGGACTTCACCCGGAACCCCTTCTCGTCAGCGATGTAGCTGAAGGCCGCTGGAGTTCCATCAGGATATGTGAATCTGCAACAAAATGATAGGCAAGAGATTGATGTTTACCGTTCTGGCGAGTGTAGCTCCGTACAGCACGTTCTGATTGGTGGGAAATACAATGAGATTTTGAGTACAATCAACAATTAAGGGATGCCAACCCGATATCTATTAGGATCACACTCAGACGAGATATAAATAGAAACTGCAAAGTATGGGCCAAATAGATCTTCTGCAACTGCTTCATGAAATCCAATTCGAAAGCTGGATAGGCTTAATTTAGGTCTAATTTATGTACTTACGACCAGGCTCCTTGCTTGACGGCGGCGCCAGACCCCCTACGGATGGTACCTTCCTCCCGACGGATAATCCCGTCTTCCGTCTCGAAGTGGAACTTGTAGGAGCCATCTGTAGAAGGTCCCTGACGGCCATCCCGCAGGATCTCAAAGCGAGGCGTCTTGAGGAGCCCTCCTGAAGGTCCTCTGAGATCAGCACCTCCAGCAGCAGCGGCCAGGACCAGGCACAACACCGACGTCTTCAACTGGAATGATCGAAGTGAACATTTAATTACCCGTATAATGAGGTCAAAATAACTTTGAAATATCTTTCAGGAGTCGCTAGCATCCTGTCCCGCATCGCGTCTAATAGAGATGGTGGCTTCAGGTTAATTTACGTAAAGATGTCTTCATAAAGGGAAGAAATACGTGCATCAAAAAGAAGAATTTAAGAAGAAATTAGTATAGTGACAAAAATGTAGTGTAAAATAATGTAAAATAGATCTCCTATGCTGATTTGAGGTTTATTAACTAGCGTCCTCTCTAACACCCAAAACGCCAGAGGATGACAATTAGGAACTTAGAACATCCTATATTTACCGAGTAAACAATTAACTTTGATAAATTATCGTAATTTACAATTTTTCCCGGGATATGATCAATTATTTGTTTCCACATGTGCAAGATTTGTGAGCTAAAATAGATCTCCAGTGCCTACCATCAGCATCTTGGAGGCGAGACACACACACACACAGATCTAAGACGTCCTCTACTGTCTTTATATACATGATCCCTAACACCCCCCCCCCTCCCACACCCTCGTCATCTACCACCCCCACCATCTCAAGGCTCTTAGATATCTCATTTTTTTGACGATATCGGCAGACGGAACTTGGGATAACCTGCCCCTGATGATGGGTCAACCTATCACGGCTCCCATCCAAGGATTTCTAGACGGTAATTGAGAGAGGGGAGAGCAGTGAGGCTCTTCAGGATGCGAATGCTTGTCTAATGAGGTGGGGGAATGGGGTAGGTCAATTGTCCGATTCACTGGTATTTTTAGTGGTGGTTTCGGGTATTTGTTTGAAAGTCTGTTTCGTTTCAGGTGTTTGGTTGAAAGGACTCGTGTATGTGTTTCTTGTGATGAAAAAGTTTCTTGTGATGAGTCCGTGAAATCATCTTCGCAAATATTAATTACAATACATATGTATTTGACATGAATGACTGCGAATATAAAGGTGTATGTATGTATGTATGTATGTATGTGAATGTGTGTGTATTCACCTAGTTGTGCTTGCGGGGGCGTGAGCTCTGCTCTTTCGGCCCGCCTCTCTACTGTCAATCAACTGTTATTAACTACAATTTTATTTTTTTCCCACCACACACACACACACACACGAGGAAGCAGCCCGTGACAGCTGACTAACTCCCAGGTACCTATTTACTGTTAGGTAACACGGGCATCAGGATGAAAGGAACTCTGCCCATTGTTTCTCGCCAGCACCGGGAATCGAACCCGGGACCACAGAATCACGCGTCCAGTGTGCTGTCCAGTCAGCCACCGGCCCCATTATGTGCGTGTGTATATATGTGACCGGAATAGTGCACACCTAACAGTGTATCTGTGTGCGTGTATAATGTATAAGTTATACAACTCTATTTACACCCCCCCCCCCCCTCCTCCCCGAAAAAAAATATATAATCATCATTGAAACTGACAAAGCTGGAAACTGCATCACCGTGGAGGGAGCACTACAACCACGCTCCCGAGTCGTGACCTCCACCTCCGTCTCCTATTCGTGACCTTGAAGGCTAGGTCACGCTGCCCCATAGTGTGACATTGAGGGGGGGGGGGAGAACAATAACAAGACGTCACTAGAAGCTGCCATATTATTATTTTAAAATAAGACAAGGGGTTAGGGGTTCATAAGGGCTGTCAGATGACGTATTTGGTGAAACTGCAAGCAAGAGATATTATCCTAATTCAGCTCAGTTGAAGCCTGCTCTCTCTCTCTCTCTCTCTTGACCCTATACTTAGGCATATCGTGACACCCTCCCCCCCCCCCCCCTCTAAGGTCAACTACTGACCTTCCACAGGATTCAACCCCATAACAGTTGCTTAACCTTCAGGTAGCAGTTTATTGCTAGGTTAACAGCCACATCAGATGCATGGAAACGTACCCAACTATTTCCATCCTATCAAAGAACCGATTCCGGGTACTGCGACTTGGAACCGAGGGTGTAGACCACTCTGCCACCACCCCTTCACTTCCTTAGGGCTAGTAGAGAACAGGGAATAAGAAAGGTGAGGATAAAGTAGGCAGAAAGAAATTAAATAAAACAGTGTTGAGATTGAGAGAGAAAGTCTGAAGGAACATGCTTATATTACGAAGCATTTACACCATTAATGAAACCTCTACATCTTTCCTTAATCATGGAGACTTTGGTTACATTTATTAACAGTTTCAGAGCTTCGAGACGTTACCATCCAAGGTTATTGTTGTCATCAACAATTTCGTAGTGCTTCGAATGCTATAAATTGCTTAAAACAAATGTAAACAAAGCCGTCATGATTGTTAAAGGATGTACAGGTTTCGTAAGTGTTTGGGTGAATCCAAGACCCGACCATCGGGAGGACGACGCTTATGGGCGGCTTCAGGACAGGTTTGTTTGGCTTCCTGAAGGCATCCGCTGGTGGCACAGGCAGACGCCAGGGTGCCAGGCAGGTCGTGGCTCAGGTGGGTGTGTGTGTGTGTGTGTGTGTGTAGTAAATCCAATACTTTCGTTCCAAGCAAGAAATACAATATTTTGGACAACCGTTCAATCAAACTGAACACCCCTCAACGCGTGTTTCCATGCCTGGGAACACCTTTGTGATTGCAGCGAATACCTTTGTGATTGCAGACTCCCCTGTGCTTTCATCTGGTCTTGCCTGTAAGATGACTATCTGCAGGAGATGAACAATGTCAGTTCATAACATCTTGCAGGGACCTCCATGAGCGCAGATGATTCTCTCTATTCATATGAAGGCTTCACAGTGGACTTCCTGATTCCTCAAAATAATGTTAAATATAGACGCTGTACCCCAGTAATAATGCTAATTCTGGATGCTGTACCCCACCAGTAATGTTAATTATGGATGCTATACCCCACTACTAATGCTAACTTTGGATGCTGTAAACCACTAATAATGCTAATTTTGGATGCTGTACCCAAGGAATAATGCTAATTTTGGATGCTGTACCCAAGTAATAATGCTAATTTTGGATGCTGTACCCGAGTAATAATGCTAATTTTCGATGCTGTACCCAAGTAATAACGCTAATTTTCGATGCTGTACCCAAGTAATAATGCTAATTTTCGATGCTGTACCCAAGTAATAATGCTAATTTTCGATGCTGTACCCAAGTAATAATGCTAATTTTCGATGCTGTACCCAAGTAATAATGCTAATTTTCGATGCTGTACCCCACCAATACTGCTAATTATAGAAGTGGAACACACAGGTGCCAATGCTCGCTCGTTACATCTATATCCATGACGTCTACCTCAGGTAGGGAGGCTGAGGGCGGTTCTTTGGTCATTTCTCATTTAAAAAAGTCCTCATGAGAGAATGAGACTCGTGACGTACCATAGAACTAGTGTCAGAGTTCTGACCTTGTGATGGGGAGCAAGTCCGGCTGTGGTGAGGCAGCGATGGGCCTAAAAATAGAGGATGAGAGAGGCAAGGAGCTGCCTGTCGCTGGAGAAGTTGGATTTACTTATTCGTACATAACATCTTGTTATATACATAAACAAATATAGCATATATGCTTATAATATATATATATATATATATATATATATATATATATATATATATATATATATATATATATATATATATATATATATATATATATATATATATATATTGCAACCATTCTAACTCTTGCCTTTGATACAAGAGGTCAACGAAATACATCTCTTAACATCAAACCATAATATAAATGTAAAATGAACTTAGATGACTTAATTTTTCAACTACCTTGTCACATGAAGAAAAAAAATCAGAAAAGTACAGAAGATTTATGCTAGAATCATTGGTCTCACCCTTTACTGAGCACCCAAGATAATGTTATAAAACCTCACCAGATCTTGTAATTTGAAGGCCTTTAGTTCGACAAGAAATGTTACCAGTGCATGACAGGCCATCACGTTACTTTCACGGCAATAAAAAATAACATTACCTCATCGCTATTGAGTAAATGTAAAGTCACGAGGGCTTAGATCCAACACTCAGATGTATCAACAAGCTGTGATGCTCACTTTACCCTAATCTTTTTCTCAGCCTAAAATTACCTTTCAACTCGAGCTTGGCTATCAGTATGTCCATCGCTTTTAAGTGGGGGCCTGTCCGGGATTTGATTCTTCCTGGTAGCACCTGGGAGATGAAGGGTTCTGATGGTTGTAGCACCTGGGAGATGAAGGGTTCTGATGGTTGTAGCACCTGGGAGATGAAGGGTTCTGATGGTTGTAGCACCTGGGAGATGAAGGGTTCTGATGGTTGTAGCACCTGGGAGATGAAGGGTTCTGATGGTTGTAGCACCTGGGAGATGAAGGGTTCTGATGGTTGTAGCACCTGGGAGATGAAGGGTTCTGATGGTTGTAGCACCTGGGAGATGAAGGGTTCTGATGGTTGTAGCACCTGGGAGATGAAGGGTTCTGATGGTTGTAGCACCTGGGAGATGAAGGGTTCTGATGGTTGTAGCACCTGGGAGATGAAGGGTTCTGATGCTTGTAGCACCTGGGAGATGAAGGGTTCTGATGCTTGTAGCACCTGGGAGATGAAGGGTTCTGATGCTTGTAACACCTGGGAGATGAAGGCATATGATGCTTGTAACACCTGGGAGATGAAGCCGCATGATGCTTGCAGCACCTGGGAGATGAAGGCATATGATGCTTGCAGCACCTGGGAGATGAAGGCATATGATGCTTGTAGCACCTGGGAGATGAAGGCATATGATGCTTGTAGCACCTGGGAGATGAAGGCATATGATGCTTGTAGCACCTGGGAGATGAAGCCGCATGATGCTTGCAGCACCTGGGAGATGAAGGCATATGATGCTTGTAACACCTGGGAGATGAAGCCGCATGATGCTTGCAGCACCTGGGAGATGAAGGCATATGATGCTTGTAACACCTGGGAGATGAAGGCATATGATGCTTGTAACACCTGGGAGATGAAGGCATATGATGCTTGTAACACCTGGGAGATGAAGCCGCATGATGCTTGCAGCACCTGGGAGATGAAGGCATATGATGCTTGTAGCACCTGGGAGATGCAGGAACCCTACACGTTTAGTCTCTGGGGGGATGAAGGATCCCTGCACTTGTGTATCC